TTTGAGTTGAATTACTGAAATAAATGAACTTTTCCACGACATTCTAATTTATTGAGATGCACCTGTATTATGTAAACAAAAACTTTTATTTTGGATGCGATTAATCGTTTGACAGCACTAATTAATATATATATACGTATATATATATATAAAATGAAAATGATAAAAAATGTATTACTTTTCAAATTAAAAATAGATATATACATATTTACAATTGTTTATTTAATTTTAAATAATAAAAATGTTGTTTAATGTGTATTTTAAAAACCATGAAGAATTCAAAAAATAGAAACCAAGAATTCAGAGTTTCAAGAATTTTTTTTTTTAGATTATGACATAAAACAAATACGAAATATTAAAGATTTCTGAAATTGTTTCATATACATTTCTCAAATTGTTGTTTTAATATATATATATAGTGGTTTCAGGCTTTTAGATTTAATTATTTCAAACTTTCAAAATTGAACATACTTCAATATTTGCTGTTGTTTAATTCATATTTAAAATGTAATTAAATATAATAAATATAATACTGTAAAAACCAATGAAGAATTCAGTTTTTAATGTGTTTATAGACATAGATGTTTTTGAAAATCTAATATTCAGTGCCTGATTTCATAAACTGAGATGATAAATATGTCATCACAAGTAAATCATTCAGCCCATACTTTAGAAATGTTGAATATTTCATAGAGTATATGAATTCATGAATAGAGTTGCAGTGAATGGCGTGTGTTTCCATGTGTTTCAAGCTTTCTCTCCATCTCGAAGACAAGAGCTGATCTCTGTGCTCCTGGTGAAAATAAGCCCATTGATCTCTATTGATTGATGATTAATTTATGTTCCTTCTTCCAGAGTGTTATGTCTTGCAGCATGAGTTGCAATGTGGGGAGTTTACTTCATTTGGCTGCCATTGTAGAGACTTTGCAAACAAGTCAACTGATTCAGATCAACATCAGAACTGCAAATACTGCTGCCATAATCTCTCTGAACACAGAGTTTGGTCATTTCATCGAGATGGCATAAGGGGTGCTTTGGATGGTGGTTAATTCTTGATAAAATCTCATGTGTTTATTCATCTGATTTGCAGTTGAATTCTGCATCTGCATGATATCATTGGCTAAATGTCCTGAGTGATGTCATGTGCATACCTGAACGTATTCTGATATGCACAAATGTATTATGATATTGGATAATTAAATGATTTGCATGTTTAGCATGTTCAGGTCAAGCTTGTAATTTCATTGGTTGAATGTTTTCCTAATGTACATCAGCTTTTATTTTTATATTTTTGTTTTCATTTTAAATTGTTAATTTTACGTTTTAGTAATTTTTTGTGTGATTTTTTTGTAGTTATTTAGTAGGGGGTTTTATATGTCTATATAGATTTTATTATTTTATTTCAGTTTTTGTTGTTTTACATCAAGTTGAACTAAAGTTTTTTTTTATTCCAGTTAACATTTAGTTTATTTCAAGTAATGAAATTCATGAAACTGATTTGTCTTTTTTAAATGGTTTTAATTTTAGTTTCAGTTTAAGTTTTAGTTATCTATAATAATCATGTCTTTAAGCATGATTTCAATTAACAAATATTTCAATGAAAAACCAACAAATGCAAAGTTTCTGGAAATGTCAATTTACATTTTTTCATTGTACATTATAAGATGACTTAATCTTTTTACTTCCAAAAACTGTACAATAATTTTTTTTTCTGGTTTACATTTTTCTTCCTGTGCATTTTTTGTGATGCTTTTAAAAGTAAAGAAGAAGTAAAATATATGATACCATTGTTGTCATATTTTATTTGCTGATTTGAAATAGATTATTGGGGGGAAAAAAAACAATCTCAGCAGTTTTGGAATTTAAATGAACTGAAGGCATTCTCATGGACCACACTAGATTTATGTTTATGACGGACTAATGGATGAAAGTGATGAATATTTCAGATGAACAGTAAAACTGCATCAATTATGAATGCTGCTTGTATTTAGTGATTACACAGGCCAATAACTGAGAGCTCACTAAGGAACATTGACAATATAATGACACATAACCGCATTTCTTATAGAACTGTTTTTTTTTTTTTGCGAAATAAGCTTCATTTAGGATGTAACTAAATTTACTATTCAAACTACTGAATGCTAATCATGACATGGGCTCAGCGATGTTTCATCTCTATAAAGATTTTTACCATGACTTCATCTTTGTGGAAGTCGATCACAAGAAAGGATCTTCGGCAGCCATAACAAACTTTATTACTTAGACGTAATGGTCCTCTCTCATTTGTTTTCTTGATAAAACTCTTTGCCTGATGCTTTAAATGGAGAGCAGACTTTCATCTTTGCAATCTGGCGTGAGAGTGAGAGAACACATTGTCCCTTGAGTGAAGGAATAGAAGCACTTATAAGGTGCGATAACCTGACAAGCAAAGTCTTTTTGAAAGTGCGTTTGGCGCATGCAGTGGGCTTTATAAGAGCATGATGGCCAGACAATGATATAAAGTATTCTGATATTTAAATGGAAGCAAAAGCAATGTATATTGAGTGACCTGTCGTCTGTCGAGCTATTATTCATCTAAAAGTATTTAAACAAAATATTTTTTATTATACTATGCTGTTTTTATGACCTCATATTCATTGAGAGACTATTGAAAGAAGCAAAAGGATAATTTAGTGAAGGCAAAAAAACCCCCCTAATAATAAAAAAGGAAATCACCAGCTACAAGACTTTATGTGTGTGTGTGTGTATGAACAACAACTGAAAACATTTAGCTATAGTTCCAGCTTTAATATGTTTTTAAAGATATCTATCTATATGTAAATATATATATATATATGTATATATACATAGCAATGTGTATATATATATATATATATATATATATATATATATATATATATACATACATATACATATATATACATATATATATATATATTTACATATAGATAGATATCTTTAAAAACATATTAAAGCTGGAACTATAGCTAAATGTTTTCAGTTGTTGTTCATAAAAAACATAAACACAACAAAATACCTAACCAAAAATAGAAATGAATCTTCAGAGAGAGTGTGTGAGAGAGAGAGAGAGAGAGAGAGAGAGAGAGAGAGAGCAGGGGCATTGCATACTTCCAGCTATTTTGGCTCTCATACGCACTCTGGAATTTGACATTTGTAATGGATAAAATACCAAAAAACTTGTTGATACTTCTCAAGAATTAAATCAGTTTTAACAATATCAGTCTTTTCTATCATTTTTTGTTTTATTATTTATTTATTTATTATTATTTTTAAGTTCACATATCCTTGTTGAATATTAATTTCTTTCAAAGAAGGAAAGAAAAAACATACTTTTTCAATGTCCTGTGTATGACCACAAACTTTTAGTATATATTGTTCCAAAAGAGTTCTATTTTGAATAAATGCTGTTCTTTTTAATTTTTTATTAATTAAAGAATCCTGAAAAAAGTATTACAGGACCAAAAACAAACAAACAAACAAACAAATAAACAAATAAATATTAAGATGCAGAACTGTTATCAACATAAATCAGCATTTTAGAACGTTTTCTGAAGGATCGTGTGACATTGAAAACTGGAGTAATGGCTGCAGAAAATTCAGCTTTTCCATCACAGGAATAAATTATTATTATTATTATTATTTTTACAGTATTATCAAACATATTACAGATAGATAAAGTGAATTGAAATCATTTATTTAATATTGTGTTGTGTTGCTTTATTATACTCTAACGTGTATTATATTCTGACACCTTTTTATTTTTTATATTTACATAATTTAACCAGTTAAATGTTTTTCGATGCATATTATGAATAAAAATGACTCTTGCCATTAAATGAATGATATATATAAATATAAAATAAATGAAAAAGATCTGTCAGTCTGTCACCCTACCCGTGACTTTGCTGATTGCAGGGAAGTCTCGCGTTGTCTCGCGTGATTTTCTCTCCACCCCCACCATCCAGCCCCTCCCCTCCGCTCTTTCCGTCTGTGTCTCCTTCTTTCTCTCTCTGGAACACATGAGATTCTCCTCCCGAAACCTGAACCGCAGCAGCAGAGGCATCGACCCCCTCCCCACACGCACACACAACATGGCTACAATTGTAACCTCGACCAGGTTTACGGACGAGTATCAACTTTACGAAGAGCTGGGAAAGTAAGTGCGCGCAACATTGTAGCGGCGTGACGTCATCGGCGCAAGTTACTCTTGTTTGTTTCGTTCCATTCTTTTATTTGGATGTTGACAGCGGGGGAAATGGCTTGCAAAGAGTCTCGTAAACCTCTCCGAGAGCCACGCACAGGGGGCTTGATCGGACCAAGACCAGAACCGAGTACTGCACTCAGTCCTGGACTTGATCCGATCAAGTCCCCTGTGCTGATCTAAGCTCTAACCGTTGTTAATGTCAGGTTTAAAGGGCTGTAGTGGTTTTGAGTAAGGTATCTGTGGTGTAGAATGTTGAATACAGTACACACTGTGTTTTGTGTTCACGCCTTGTTTTATTTTAAGGGCTTGCTGATGGGCAGGAAGGTTTTCTCGGTTACTTTGGGTATTTGTCTGCAAACGTGGATTGTTTTATGCTCGTAACCCGAGGTTAAATCGTATTGTTCTGCAGCTGCTTAAAATTATTGCAGCGTAGTGCACTATGTAGTGCACTAAAGATTATGTAGCCGCGTACTTGATATTACAATGAAATATTGAGTGTGTCGCGCACACAGTTAATCACACTTTAATATCTTAGGAGGGGAGCGATAAAGAGGGATTATAAAATCAATAAATGAGCAGTGACGCCTTTCTGAGTATTAAATCTCACTTTTGGGAAGAGCATTACTGACATGCAGATGCGAAGTGCTGTGCACGCCGCCCATTTTTAGAGGCTAATGTCCGAAGTGTAGTAGACAGTGTTGTCTTAAGTCTAATTGTGTGCAGACATGAGAGCATTTTCTGATTTACACTTCTTTTTGTCATACTTAAATTTCTCGCGATGTCCGATTTGTGAACAAATCGGTCTTTTGTGTCGAATCTTGTCAATGAATCGGAATGATTCGTTCACAAATCGGACCGAATCGGTCCAAGGATTCTTGACTCACTGTAAATTATTGTTAATGTAGAATCATGCAAATGTAACTTTTATTTGCGTTGTAAGCAATGAACACATTCAATTGCATTATATTAATTACATAAAATTACAATAAACAGCATTTTAGAACATGGTGGAAAATGATGAATCATTTTTTTGAAGCAAGCTGTTGGAATACTCATCACTCATTTATAATAGAACCGCTGTTACATCTTCAATGACTGACAGCTCTTCCGAGTTTGCGAGAGTCAGGTGCATCTTTTACTTTTGAGGGAAACTAAACTTTGTGTGTTCTTCATTCGCAGGGGTGCCTTCTCCGTGGTGCGGAAATGTGTGAAAAAATCCACTGGCCAGGAATATGCTGCTAAAATTATTAACACAAAGAAACTGTCAGCAAGAGGTAAGGCATTCGATTCGGCACTCTTTCAGTGTACGCGCTGCAGTGGGATGAAGTGCTTTGTGTTTTATTTCGCTCAGCGTTCACTGAAAAGGCATTGTCTCCTGAAGTTGTTCAAGTTGTTATAGTCCAAATTGGAGTTTTGTGGCTTTTAGTCCTTGTCTGCTCATTTGAGGCCATCTGTATGGTTGCGTACTTGTAAAAGTTGAGTGATTATTGCCTTGTAGCAGATATGCTCGTTTAAGTCATCTGGGAAAACAGACCAAAAATATTGATGATTCAGTTTGCACTCACAGGTGTATTCATTTATTTGTCCAATAAAATTAGGGATGCACCGATATGAACATTTTGACCAATACCGATAACTGATAATTCTTTATTTTTGAAAGCCGATAACCGATATGTTGGCCGATAAATCTATATCCAAATTTTTATATACTTTTTGAGAGCCTGAGAAAAAATGAGCATTTATCGGCCGATACCGATATGGTGGCCGATATATCGTGCATCCCTAAATAAAATACTCTCCCCATAATACCACCTACTTGTGACTATCACTATTAGGGTTGGGTATTGGCCATTAGCACTATAAACACATGATGTCTGTTTCATTCATACTGGACGCCAAAGGGCACCCTCGCACAGAAAATCCACATATCCAGTCACAGAAGTAGTGGAACACATGACCCTCCAGGAAATCCTTAATATGGTCAAAGACATCCTATTATAGGTAGCCTATGGAACATATTTTCTGCCTCATTCTGTGACAAGAAGCCACATCAGATCACAAAAGGAAGCATTTGACTGGTGTTGTGGAGTAAAAAGCTTATAATGTTCTCTTTTGTTGGACAACAGGTTTAGAATTGTGAATACAAGGGAAGTTTAGCTTTAGGCATTTTAATTTAAACATGTTTAGCTTAGTTAACAGAAGGCTACCTGCTGCCGTCAGAGCAAGTGTAATTACTGCATTCACGCGCTCCTCGAATGCTCTCATTTCCAGAGTTGTGCTTTTAAGTCGGAATGTGAAAACAACATGGACACTGGTTGGATTTGTATTATTAGACCTTTCTGACTTGAGTTCACGTGCATTTTCTCAGTCGGGAAATTATTTTTCACGTGCGGTGGCGCGATGATGTTTCTTACGTCCGTTTCGGAGAACCAGAGGACAAATATATCAATCGATCGCTCAGGCACGGCACCAAAATGAGGCACCGAAATCTGCGTTCGGATTCGGTTCTAGTACATACTAGTACATACCAGTTACATAGGTACCGGTGCCATATTGGTACCGGGTTTCGGTACCCAACCCTAATCACTATAGACAAATATAGTGATTAGGCCAATTAATCAGCTTGTATTTGTCCAGTTTTGCATTATTACATCAAATGGTTAACAGAAGTAGATGTTTGTCGGGTCCAAAATCTAGCCACCAGCCTTGTCAATGGACAGTTTTTAATAAAATTTGTGTAAATATTTGAGTAATATAAAAATGTAATTGGTTTTCAAGTATCTGCATCGTCTTTTAACAACCCATTTGACCACTACTTCTGACTTGCAACACAGTATTATATATATATATATATATATATATATATATATACACCAAAAATGATTTTTAATAGTTGTGGTTTTAGTTAACAGTAGGGCTGTGCAAATAATCGAATGCGATTTTCATGCGCATCTTGTCAGTGTCGCATTCGGTTATTTGCACAGCCCTAGTTAACAGTAACTACATGCAGTAAGCCAGAATTCATGGCTGTGACTTGGACTAAAGGCTGTTGGCTATTTAAAAATGGGACAAGTCCATTGATAGTATGTCTCCAGCTTCCTGTTTTAATAGGAAACAGACCTGTTTAGCTCAGTAGCTGTGTGTTGAAACCTTGCCTGCCGGGATGGTCGCAGTCCTTCAGATAGAGCCCAGTGTGTTCATGTTTAAAAGCATGCAAAAGTGTTTGCCTCTGCCTCTGTCCAGCCCTGTTTTTCCTCAGAACTTGAAGAGACACATGAGAATGCGTGCTGTGCCCTGCAGCACAAATCTGGCTAATAGTCCCACCTGCAGTTTTGCAATAATTTTGTGAATCTTTTTGTGCAAGCATGTGTTTATCAGTACCATGTGGTGTCGCAGAACTTGCATGCTTTGTTGTGCAGCTCCTGAAGACCAAAGCTGCTTTTGATTAGAGAAAAAAGACATGGCGCTTAAAAGGGAAAAAATTATATTTTATTTAGTCATTTCAGTTGAAGAATGAAAAATGGATTTTTCCAGGAACAGACAGGTTTAAGGTGTGTTTAGAGGCCCTGCGGCGCTTGCTATCGGTTGGATATATTCATTGGCATGTGTTCATTTCTCTCATTTGAATGTTCAGTTGTTGCCCTGATATTGTGGGAATGTCAGAAAGGCCTATAAGCTGAGTCATACACAGAGGAGGATTCTGGGTCAATTCAGCTGATAGTAAACTTTATTTTTTATTGCCGTGCGAAATTCTGACAGTGTTGCATCCAGGGTGAAGCTTCTCTGAGCCACTGTTGACTTGGAAGTGAATCGTGTTCAATGATTTGCATTTTTTAAATCAAATAAGCATTATTCTGCTTTAGCTTGTTGTAGTTTTGGTCTGCTGCATTATATATAATTGTACCTGCCTCAGCAGGTCGGAGAAGCTCATCTGTCATAACAGCAGAAGGTTAGTAAGTGAAGTGTCTGGTGCAGTATGTCTTTCTGCCTTCCTCGATTTGCTGATTTGCAGTTTTCAATGCAGCTAATGTGAAATTAAGTGGAGCGCATGGACAGTGAGGGTCTTGTTTATGGCACAGCTATTGTCTTTGTTGAGTGCTTGTCTCCAGCAGGCTGGCCAATTAAGAGACCGGACTGCGCTTCAACCGTCCTGTTAGCAGAGCGAGAGGGGCGTGACAGAATCAGTTAATACAGAGATTCTGGAAGGAAAGGTGTGGTTCTTGTCATCCTGGTGTAACTCTATCTTCAATTCATCCACGTCTCGTTTGAGATGGATGCTCGGTTTAATGTTCGCTCTACTTTCGCTGATGTGTGGGCATTTAATTCTAGTTCAACTTAAATTGATTAATTCGCAGGGGATGGGAATCTAATGATTTGATTTAATGCAATGATTCAGATTCCGCTTAATGAATTTTGTTCCTTAGCGATTCTGTTAATGATTCTTAGTGCTTCTAAGGAAGTGGCAAATAATTGATCCTAAATATATCATACCAGTTACTACATTTTGTTTATATGTTTATGGACCGAAATAAGTATGTAATACTGTATTCTCTGTAATTTGAATATTTTCATGAAAGACTTTCTGAAGACTGGAGTAATGGCTGGTTTGCCATCACAGGAATCAAAACAGCAAATTTTGAATTGTGATATTATTTTATGATATTATTGTTTTTACTGTATTTTTGATCAAATAAATGTAGCATTGGTCAGTATAAGAGACTAATATTAAAACATTAGAATGTTACAATATTAAATAAATATTAAAATATGAAATTGTTTTATTGACAAACTTTTAAATGAGTGTACATAATTTATGTGAATCATGGAGAATATAATTAATTTAATATATTCCAATTTTCCTAAAGTCAAATGGTCAAATGTATTTGATTTATAAAATTATAAAAATACAAAAATGTGTAGCATTTATAAAATTATACATTTTTAATAAAAAAAAAACGACCATATACATAGGTAGGACTAATTACCACAAGATTATAAAGCAGTATTATATATTTACTTGCACCCAGCTTGTCTTTCTCAAGACATTTCATTCAGACTAAGCTTACAACTACAGCGAAAGCTGTTTCATTCACATTGATAGAAGAATGCAATGCAGATATTTAAAAACTGTTAATAGTACCAAACATCATTAAATTATTTGACTCTAGTATTCAAAAAAGTAGAAACTTTTACCTGTAACACATTTTTTGAGGCCATTTGTTTATTTAAAAAAAAATAGGTATATTAAAGTGGTGGTGCTGAAATGCTTCACTCATTGGTGGTTTTGACCAAGAGCTTGATGCAGTAGCTAGGCAACCGTTTACTTGGGCTGTATTTGATTGGTTGCCACAAACGAGGAGACTTGAGTTGATAGACTGAGTTGTGGATGAGAACGGACAAAAATCTCCCATAATCCGTTACTGCCTGATGCCCTGATGCGCACCACACGTCTGCAGAGAAGCAACACGTGAGCCTGACGGGGGCTTAGAGTAGATGAGTCTCACTCCGCACACCTACTGCCCAGATCTGTCAAGCAACCCCACTGCTTTTCAAAAACTGAGTTCTGTTTGGTTCATTCGTTTATGACACAGACCCTGTGCCATATGCAGGAATCCCTTTACTTATTCACCCAGATAAACATTTGTGTGATTAGTGCTCTGGTCAGGTCATATGACGGCCTTATTAGCAGGTGGGGGAGGGGTTTCTGAGCCAAGGAAATGTATGGCGTAATGACAGCAGCTGTGTGCATAACGCTTGCAGCTTGGCTTGTTTTCTGTCGTTTGGAAACACGAAGGTTGAATGGCTGTAGAAATAGCCGCAGAGGTCTGGTAGACAAATGTCCCCCCCTATATTTCAAAAGAAATTATTATTATTATTATTATTGGGGAAAAAATAAAGAGACATCTTTATGTATTTTATTATAAACTTTATATATTACGATAAATACCGTTTACAGGTTTAAAAAAAGTAAAAACATTTTTTTTATATATTTGATTATTTTAAAATGTAATTTATTCCTGTGACAGCAGCATGATACTTCAGAAATCATTCTAATATGCTGATTTGTTGGTCAAGAAACATTCGGATTATCATAAACTTTAAAAATATTTATGCTGATTAATATTTTTGTGGAAAAACTCTGATACTTTTTTTCTTTAATTAATAAAAAAAGTTCAAAAGAACAACCGTTTATTTGAAATGGAAATCTTTTTTTAATTCTAAATGTCTTTTCTGTCACTTCTAATCAATTTAATGCATCCTTATTTATTTTTTA